GTATAATATACATAAACTAGTGTATAATATACATACACTAGTGTATAATATACATACACTAGTGTATAATATACATACACTAGTGTATAATATTCATTCACTAGTGTATAATATACATAAACTAGTGTATAATATACATACACTAGTGTATAATAATTCATTCACTAGTGTATAATATACATAAAACTAGTGTATAATATTACATACACTCAGTGATAATATACATACATAGTGTATAATATACATACACTAGTGTATAATATATATAAACTAGTGTATAATATAGATAAACTAGTGTATAATATACATACACTAGTGTATAATATACATACACTAGTGTATAATATACATGTAAAATAACTAGTGTATAATATACACTAGTGTATAATATACATACAGTAGTGTATAATATACATAAACTAGTGTATAATATACATACACTAGTGTATAATATACATGCACTAGTGTATAATATACATACACTAGTGTATAATATACATACACTAGTGTATAATATACATAAACTAGTGTATAATATACATACACTAGTGTATAATATACATACACTAGTGTATAATATTAACATTTACACTAGTGTATAATATACATACATAGTGTATAATATTACATTACTTGTGTATAATATACATAAACTAGTGTAAAAGATACATACACTAGTGTATAATATACATACACTAGTGTATAATATACATTAAACTAGGTATTAAATATACATACACTAGTGTAATTATACATACACTAGTGTATAATATACTACACTAGTGTATAATATACATACACTAGTGTATAATATTCATTCACTAGTGTATAATATACATAAACTAGTGTAAAAGATACATACACTAGTGTATAATATACATACACTAGTGTATAATATACGTAAACTAGTGTATAATATACATACACTAGTGTATAATATACATAAACTAGTGTATAATATACACTAGTGTATAATATACATACACTAGTGTATAATATACATAAACTAGTGTATAATATACATACACTAGTGTATAATATACATGCACTAGTGTATAATATACATACACTAGTGTATAATATACATACACTAGTGTATAATATACATAAACTAGTGTATAAGATACATACACCTGTGTATAATATACACTAGTGTATAATATACATGCACTAGTGTATAATATACATACACTAGTGTATAATATAAATACACTAGTGTATAATATACAAAAAACTAGTGTATAATATACATACACTAGTGTATAATATCATACACTAGTGTATAATATACATAACACTAGTGTATAAGATACATACACTAGTGTTAATACATATTATATTCACTAGTGTATAATATACATAAACTAGTGTATAAGATACATACACTAGTGTATAATATATATACACTAGTGTATAATATACATAAACTAGTGCATAATATACTTACACTAGTGTATATATACATAAACTAGTGTATTAATATACCACTAGTGTATAATATTCATTCACTAGTGTATAATATACATAAACTAGTGTATATAACTATAATTACACTAGTGTATAATATACATAAACTAGTGCTATAATATACACTAGTGTATAATATACATACACAAGTGTATATATATTACAATATCAAACTAGTGTATAATATACATTAAACTAGTGTAAAAATATACATGCACTAGTGTATAATATACATAACTAGTGTATAATATACATAGTGTATAATATACATAACACAAGTGTATAAATACATAAACTGTGTATAATATACATACACTAGTGTATAATATTATACATGCCTAGTGTATAATATACATACACTAGTGTATAATATACTACATAGTGTACTAATATACATAAACTAGTGTAAAATATACAATACACTGTGTATAATATACATACACTAGTGTATAATATATATACACTAGTGTATAATATACATACACTAGTGTATAATATACATACACTAGTGTATAATATACATACACTAGTGTAAAATATACATACACTAGTGTATAATATACATACACTAGTGTATAATATACATACACTTGTGTATAATATACATAAACTAGTGTATAATATACATACACTAGTGTATAATATACATACACCTGTGTATAATATACATACACTAGTGTATATTACATACACCTGTGTATAAATACATACATTGTATAATATACAACACCTGTGTAATATACATAAGTAATAATATACATACACCTGTGTATAATATACATACGACTAGTGTATTAATATAATACACTAGTGTATAATATACATAACTAGTGTATAATATACATACACTAGTGTATAATATACATACACTAGTGTATAATATACATACACCTGTGTATAATATACATACACTAGTGTATAATATACATACACCTGTGTATAATATACATAACTAGTGTATAATATACATAACACTGTGTATAAATATACAACACTAGTGTATAATATACATAACTAGTGTATAATATACATAAACTAGTGTATGATATACATACACTAGTGTATAATATAATTACACTAGTGTATATATACATTATACTAGTGTATAATATACATACACTAGTGTATAATATACATACACTAGTGTATAATATACATACACTAGTGTATAATATACATACACTAGTGTATAATATACATAACACTAGTGTATAATATACATTACACTAGTGTATAATATACATACACTAGTGTATAAATATACATACACTAGTGTATAATATACATACACTAGTGTATTAATATTCATTCACTAGTGTATAATATACATACACTAGTGTATAATATACATACCACTAGTGGTATAATATTCATACACTAGTGTATAATATTCATTCACTAGTGTATAATATACATACACTAGTGTATAATATACATACACTAGTGTATAATATTCATTCACTAGTGTATAATATCATTACACCTAGTGATAAATATACATACATAGTGTATAATATACATACACTAGTGTATAATATCATTACACTAGTGTATAATATACATACACTAGTGTATAATATACATACACTAGTTTATGAATATACATACACTAGTGTATAATATACATACACTAGTGTATATATACATACTCAGTTTATCAACACTAGTTTATAATATACATACACTAGTGTATAATAAACATACACTAGTGTATAATATTCATTCACTAGTGTATAATATACATACACTAGTGTATAATATACATACACTAGTGTATAATATTCATTCACTAGTGTATAATATACATACACTAGTGTATAATATACATACACTAGTGTATAATATTCATTCACTAGTGTATAATATACATACACTAGTGTATAATATACATGCACTAGTGTATAATATACATACACTAGTGTATAATATACATACACTAGTGTATAATATACATACACTAGTGTATAATATTCATTCACTAGTGTATAATATACTACATAGTGTATAATATACATACATAGTGTATAATACATACACTAGTGTAAATTACTTAGTGTATAATATACATACACTAGTAGTATTATAATACATACACTAGTGTATAAATTACATACACTAGTGTATAATATACATACACTAGTGTATAATATACATACACTAGTGTTAATTACATACACTAGTGTATAATATACATACACTAGTGTAAATAATACTACACTATTATAAATCACTAGTGTATAATATACATAACACTAGTGATAATATACATACACTAGTGTATAATATACATACACTAGTGTATAATATACATACACTAGTGTATAATATACATACACTAGTGTATAATATACATACACTAGTGTATAATATACATTACACTAGTGTATAATATACATACACTAGTGTATAATATACATACACTAGTGTATAATATACATACACTAGTGTATAATATACATTAAGTTTGGAATAACTTCATAATAACAAAGTTATTATGTGAGTACAATAAGATCTCATTTAGGATTTTACATAACTTCTAATTTTGCAGATCTTAACATCTCACTCACAATAAATAATGATAATGATGTTTATAATGATAATGAACAGTAATAATAATGACACTACTACTAATAATAATAATATTACTACTAATACTACTACTACCACTACTGCTGCTACTACTATTACTAGTAAAAATATTACTATACTACTACTACTACTAATAATAATAATAATAATATACTACTACTACTACAAATAATATTAATAACATTACAGCTACTACTACTACTATTACTACTACTAATAATAATAATAATGACGATACTACTACTACTACTAATACTACTACTAGTATTGTTGTTACTACTACTACTACTACTAATAATAATAATGATAGTACTGCTGTTACTACTACTACTACTACTACTACTACTAATAATAATAATAATAATGATACTACTACTACTACTAATAATAATAATAATGATACTACTACTACTACTACTAATAATAATAATAATGATACTACTACTACTACTAATACTAATAATAATAATAATGATACTACTACTACTACTAATACTACTACTACTAATAATAATAATAATAATAATGATACTACTACTACTACTACTAATACTTCTACTAATACTAATAATAATAATAATAATAATAATACTAGTACTACTACTACTACTACTAATAATAATAATAATAATAATAATAATGATACTACTACTACTACTACTAATACTAATATGATACTACTACTACTACTACTAATAATAATACTAATAATAATAATAATTACTACTACTAATAATAATAATAATACTACTACTACTACTACTATTACTACTAGTATTAATAATACTACTACTACTACCAATAATAATAATAACACTACTACTACTATTACTACTAGTAATAATAATAATACTACTACTACTACTACCAATAATACTACTACTACTACTACTACCAATAATAATAATAATAATAATAATAATAATAATAATAATAAGAATAACCTTGTACAGTTCAGGAGCAGCATAGGGAGGTGAGCCACAGAAAGTGCTCAGTTGTTGTTGAAGATTACTGACTCTGGTGGAGAAGCCAAAGTCTCCCAGCTTGACCTGACCAGGACCTGCTAGGAACACGTTCTCCGCCTTGATGTCACGATGTATGATGGACAACCCATGCTGTGGGTGGTGTCACACATGTTAGCTGATGCTGTGGGTGGTGTCAGAGATGTTAGGTGATGCTGTGGGTGACGTTACACATGTTAGCTGATGCTGTGAGTGATGTTACACATGTTAGCTGATGCTGTGAGTGATGTTACACATGTTAGCTGATGTCAGAGATGTTAGATGATACTGTGGGTGATGCCAGAGATGTCAGGTGATGCTGTTGGTGATATCAGAGATGTCAGGTGTTTACACATCTTTTCAAAAAAATTAATTTATCCTCTAAGGGTCATATTCCTAGAGACTATCACAAGAACCTAATCTTAACGTTGTGACAGTGTATTTCCTGAGCTAGGTAAGGTGAGACAGTAGGTACTGACCAGGTAGGTGAGACAGAACGTACTGACCAGGTAGGTGATGGCTGACAGTAGGTACTGAGCAGGTAGGTGGTGGCTGACAGTAGGTACTGAGCAGGTAGGTGATGGCTGACAGTAGGTACTGACCAGTTAGGTGATGGCTGACAGTAGGTACTGACCAGGTAGGTGATGGCTGACAGTAGGTACTGACCAGGTAGGTGATGGCTGACAGTAGGTACTGACCAGGTAGGTAATGGCTGACAGTAGGTACTGACCAGGTAGGTGATGGCTGACAGTAGGTACTGACCAGTTAGGTGATGGCTGACAGTAGGTACTGACCAGGTAGGTGATGGCTGAGAGACAGTAGGTACTGACCAGGTAGGTGATGTGAGACACTAGGTACTGACCAGGTAGGTGATGTGAGACACTAGGTACTGACCAGGTAGGTGATGTGAGACACTAGGTACTGACCAGGTAGGTGAGGTGAGACAGTAGGTAGGTACTGACCAGGTAGGTGATGGCTGACAGTAGGTACTGACCAGGTAAGTGACTGCTGAGAGCACCTGAGTGAAGACCTTAGCTGAGTCGTTCTCAGGTAGTCTACCTTCTGCTGTGACACGATTAAAGAGTTCTCCTCCAGGAGCAAACTCCAGCACCAAGTGAATCCTGGAGAGTGTCTCCACCACCTCGAACAACCTGCGTGTTGTGGAACCTCTTAGTCTCTCTATCTCTCTTAAATGATTGTCTGGGTACTATCTCACTCCCTCACACTCTCTCACATACCAAGACACTCACACAAAACATAAACCAATATACAACAACAACACAACAGAATCAAACCTTTTATCCAGGTTTATAAACAACATACACAATGTAAGACAGAATACAAGAAATAAAAACACTATATATATATATATATATATATATATATATAATATATATATATATATACGTCGTGCCGAATAGGCAGAACTTGCGATCTTGGCTTAAATAGCAACGCTCATCTTGCCATATAAGACAAGTGAAAATTTGTGTATGCAATAATTTCGCCAAAATCATTCTGAACCTAACGAAAAAAATATATTTCACTGTGTTTGTTTAGTATTAAATTATTGTGAACAAATCTAAAATATATTTAGTTAGGTTAAGCTAAAATAAATTGTTCTTGTTATAATAAGGTTAGGTAAGTTTTCTAAGATTCTTTTGGTGCAAAATTAAAAGTTTTTACATTATCAATAATGAAAAAAATATATCTTTAAACGTATAAGAGAAATTTTTAGAAAGGACTTAATTTTAAATGAGTTCTTGCTAATTGACCAGTTTTACATATTCGGCACGACATATATATATATATATATATATATATATATATATATATATATATATATATTATATATATATATATATATATATATATATATACATGAGAGGGTACACGCAGAGCACGTGTGTTGTGTGGGTAGGAAGACGTACAAATTAATAATTTTGTAAATAAAGCTTGTACAGAGTACAAAAAGATTCGTGATTGTACTCTCTCTCCCTCTCTTTTTCTACCATTCACCCTGCCACCCACCCACCCATCCCCTGCCATTCACTCACCCAGGCACCCACCCACCCCCTGCCATTCACTCACCCTGGCACCCACCCACCCTGCCACCCACCCATCCCCTGCCATTCACCCACCCTGGCACCTACCCACCCTGCCATCCACCGACACCCTGCCATTGACTCACTCTGGAACCCACCCATCCCCTGCCACCCACTTATCCTGCCACCCAATCACCCTTGCCACCCACTCACCCTGCCACCCACCCACCCTACCACCCACCCAACCTGCCACTCATCCACCCTGACACCCACCCTACCTGCCATAAACTCACCCTGCCACCCACCCCCTGCCATTCACCCACCCAGACACCTACCCACCCTGCCACCCACCCACACCCTGCCATTAACTCACCCTGGCACCCACCCACCCCCTGCCACCCACCCACCCCTGCCACCCACCATCCCCTGCCATCCACTCATCTCTGCCACGCAATCACGCTTGCCACCCACTCACCCTGCCACCCACCCATCCTGCCACCCACTCACCCTGCCACCCATCCACCCTGACACCCACCCACCCTGCCACCCCCCACTCTGCCCCCCACTCACACTGCCACGCACCCACCCTGCCACCTACTCACCCTGTCACCCATCCACCCTGACACCAACCCGCCCCGCCACCACCCACCCTGCCAGCCACTCACCCTGCCACCCACCAACCCCTGACACCCACCCACCCTGCCACCCACCCATAATGACACCCACCCTCCCTAGCACCCACTCACCCCTGCCACCCACTCACCCTCCCTGCCACCGAACTTCCCACCCTGCCACCAACTCACCCTGCCATCCACTCACCCTGCCACGCACCCTGCAACCCACTCACCCTGCCACCCACCCACAAAGCCACCTACTCACCCTGCCACGCACCCTGCAACCCACTCACCCTGCCACCCACCCACAATGCCACCTACTCACCCTGCCACGCACCCTGCAACCCACTCACCCTGCCACCCACCCACAATGCCACCTACTCACCCTGCCACCCATCCACCCTAACAGCAACCCACCCGCCACCCTCCCACTCACTCACCCTGCCACCCACCCACCCACTCACCCTGCCATCCACACTGCAACCCACTCACCCTGCCACGCACCCACCCTGCCACCTACTCACCCTGTCACCTATCCACCCAGACACCAACCCACCCTGCCACACACTTTGCCACCCACCCACCCCCTGTCACACACTCACCCTGTCACCCATCTACCCTAGCCACCCACCCACCCCTGCCAACCACTCACCCTGCCACCCACCCACCCTGATACCCACCAACCCACACTGCCACCCACCAACCCCTCACACCCACCCACCCTGTCACCCACCCACCCTAGCACCCACTCACACCTGCCACCTACTTGCCCTGCCACCGATCCACCCTGACACCAACCCACCCTGTCACCCACCCACCCTGACACCAACCCACCCTGCCACCCATTCACACTGACACCCACCCGCCTCCTGCCACCCATCCTGCCACCCACCAACCCATGACACCCACCCACCCTGTCACCCACCCACCCTGCCACCTACCCACCCTGCCACCCAACCTCCCACCCACCCACCCTGTCACCCACCCACCCTGCCACCCAACCTCCCATCCACCCACCCTGCCACCCACCCACGCTGCCACCTACTCACCCTGCCACCCACTCACCTGATAATGTTAGGGAGCGCCACAACATCCCACCCACCCACCATGCCACCCACTCATCCTGCCACCCACTCACCCTGCCACCCACTCACCTGATAATGTTAGGGTGCGCCACAACCTCCCACCCACCCACCCTACCACTCACTCACCCTGCCACCCACTCACCTGATAATGTTAGCGTGCGCCACAACATCCACCCTCCCACCCTTTCACCCTGCCACCTACCCACCCTGCCACCCACTCACCTGATAATGTTAGGGTGCGCCACAACCTCGCACCCACTCACCCTGCCACCCACTCACCCTGCCACCTACTCACCCTGCCACCCACTCACCTGATAATGTTTGGGTGCGCCACAACCTCCCACCCACCCATTCTGCCAGCCACTCACCCTGCCACCCACTCACCTTGCCACCCACTCACCTGACAATGTAAGGGTGCGCCACAACCTCCCACCCACCCACCCTGCCACCCACACACCCTGCCACCCACTCACCATGCCACCTACTCACCCTGCCACATACTTACCTGATAATGTTACGGTGCGCCACAACCTCCCACCCACCCACCCTGCCACCCACTCACCCTACCACCTACTCACCCTGCCACCCACTCGCCTGATAATGTTAGGGTGCGCCACAACCTCCTACCCACCCACCCTACCACCCACCCACCCTACCACCCACTTACCCTGCCACCTACTCACCCTGCCACCCACTCACCTGATAATGTTAGGGTGCGCCACAACATCCATGTTAGAGATCTCTCTGGCCAGCATCCTTTGTGTCTTCTGGTCTAATTTAGACTTGTCTATCACCTTCACAGCCACCTTGTCTGTAGACACAACACAGTAACAATGACTCTTATTACAATGAGCGTTTGTCTCAGTCTCACAATATTTCAGAGAGGAGAGTGCCTGCACTCTGAAGGATGAGTGAGGATGTTACAGTGCTGGAGGTGGGAAGTACAGTGCCTGCACTCTGAAGGATGAGTGAGGATGTTACAGTGCTGGAGGTGGGAAGTACAGTGCCTGCACTCTGAAGGATGAGTGAGGATGTTACAGTCCTGGAGGTGGGAAGTACAGTGCCTGCACTCTGAAGGATGAGTGAGGATGTTACAGTCCTGGAGGTGGGAAGTACAGTGCCTGCACTCTGAAGGATGAGTGAGGATGTTACAGTCCTGGAGGTGGGAAGTACAGTGCCTGCACTCTGAAGGATGGGCGAGGATGTTACAGTCCTGGAGGTGGGAAGTACAGTGCCTGCACTCTGAAGGATGAGTGAGGATGTTACAGTCCTGGAGGTGGGAAGTACAGTGCCTGCACTCTGAAGGATGAGTGAGGATGTTACAGTCCTGGAGGTGGGAAGTACAGTGCCTGCACTCTGAAGGATGAGTGAGGATGTTACAGTCCTGGAGGTGGGAAGTACAGTGCCTGCACCCTGAAGGATGAGTGAGGATGTTACAGTCCTGGAGGTGGGAAGTACAGTGCCTGCACTCTGAAGGATGAGTGAGGATGTTACAGTCCTGGAGGTGGGAAGTACAGTGCCTGCACTCTGAAGGATGGGCGAGGATGTTACAGTCCTGGAGGTGGGAAGTACAGTGCCTGCACTCTGAAGGATGAGTGAGGATGTTACAGTCCTGGAGGTGGGAAGTACAGTGCCTGCACTCTGAAGGATGAGTGAGGATGTTACAGTCCTGGAGGTGGGAAGTACAGTGCCTGCACTCTGAAGGATGAGTGAGGATGTTACAGTCCTGGAGGTGGGAAGTACAGTGCCTGCACTCTGAAGGATGAGTGAGGATGTTACAGTCCTGGAGGTGGGAAGTACAGTGCCTGCACCCTGAAGGATGAGTGAGGATGTTACAGTCCTGGAGGTGGGAAGTACAGTGCCTGCACTCTGAAGGATAAGTGAGGATGTTACAGTCCTGGAGGTGGGAAGTACAGTGCCTGCACTCTGAAGGATGGGCGAGGATGTTACAGTCCTGGAGGTGGGAAGTACAGTGCCTGCACTCTGAAGGATGAGTGAGGATGTTACAGTCCTGGAGGTGGGAAGTACAGTGCCTGCACTCTGAAGGATGAGTGAGGATGTTACAGTCCTGGAGGTGGGAAGTACAGTGCCTGCACTCTGAAGGATGAGTGAGGATGTTACAGTCCTGGAGGTGGGAAGTACAGTGCCTGCACTCTGAAGGATGAGTGAGGATGTTACAGTCCTGGAGGTGGGAAGTACAGTGCCTGCACTCTGAAGGATGGGCGAGGATGTTACAGTCCTGGAGGTGGGAAGTACAGTACCTGCACTCTGAAGGATTGGTGAGGATGTTACAGACCTGAAGGTGGGAGGTAGAGTGTCTGCACTCTGAAGGATTGGTGAGGATGTGACAATCCTGGAGGTGGAAAGCACAATGCCTACACTCTGAAGGATGGGTGAGTATATTGCAGTCCTGGAGGTGGGAAGTACAGTGCCTGCACTCTGAAGGATAAGGATGCTACAGTCCTGGGGATGGGAAGTACAATGCCTGCACTCTGGAGGATGAGTGAGGATGTTACAGTCCTGGAGGTGGGAAGTACAGTGCCTGCACTCTGGAGGATGAGTGAGGATGTTACAATCCTGGAGGAGGGAAGTACAGTGCCTGCGCTCTGAAGGATGGGTGAGAATGTTACAGTCCTGGAGGTGGGAAGTACAGTACCTGCACTCTGAAGGATGGGTAAGTATGTTACAGTCCTGGAGGTGGGAATTACAGTGCCTGCACTCTGAAGGATGAGTGAGGATGTTACAGTCCTGGAGGTGGAAAGTACAGTGCCTGCACTCTGAAGTATGAGTGAGGATGTTACAGTCCTGGAGGTGGGAAGTACAGTGCCTGCACTCTGAAGTATGAGTGAGGATGTTACAGTCCTGGAGGTGGGAAGTACAGTACCTGCACTCTGAAGGATAAGGATGTTACAGTAGTGGAGATGGGAAGGACAGTGCCTGCACTCTGGAGGATGAGTGAGGATGTTACAGTACTGGAGGTGGGAAGTACAGTGCCTGCACTCTGGAGGATGGGTGAGGTACACTACACAGTGTTGAGGTACACTACACAGTACTGAGGTACACTACACAGTGTTGAGGTACACTACACAGTGTTGAGGTACACTACACAGTACTGAGGTACACTACACAGTGTTGAGGTACACTACACAGTGTTGAGGTACACTACACAGTGTTGAGGTACACTACACAGTGTTGAGGTACACTACACAGTGTTGAGGTACACTACACAGTGTTGAGGTACACTACACAGTACTGAGGTACACTACACAGTGTTGAGGTACACTACACAGTGTTGAGGTACACTACACAGTACTGAGGTACACTACACAGTGTTGAGGTACACTACACAGTGTTGAGGTACACTACACAGTGTTGAGGTACACTACACAGTACTGAGGTACACTACACAGTGTTGAGGTACACTACACAGTGTTGAGGTACACTACACAGTGTTGAGGTACACTACACAGTACTGAGGTACACTACACAGTGTTGAGGTACACTACAGAGTGTTGAGGTACACTACACAGTACTGAGGTACACTACACAGTGTTGAGGTACACTACACAGTACTGAGGTACACTACACAGTGTTAGGTACACTACACAGTGTTGAGGTACACTACACAGTGTTGAGGTACACTACACAGTACTGAGGTACACTACACAGTGATGAGGTACACTACACAGTGTTGAGGTACACTACACAGTGTTGAGGTACACTACACAGTGTTGAGGTACACTACACAGTGTTGAGGTACACTACACAGTACTGAGGTACACTACACAGTGTTGAGGTACACTACACAGTGTTGAGGTACACTACACAGTGTTGAGGTACACTACACAGTGTTGAGGTACACTACACAGTACTGAGGTACACTACACAGTGTTGAGGTACACTACACAGTACTGAGGTACACTACACAGTGTTGAGGTACACTACACAGTGTTGAGGTACACTACACAGTACTGAGGTACACTACACAGTGTTGAGGTACACTACACAGTGTTGAGGTACACTACACAGTACTGAGGTACACTACACAGTGTTGAGGTACACTACACAGTGTTGAGGTACACTACACAGTACTGAGGTACACTACACAGTGTTGAGGTACACTACACAGTGTTGAGGTACACTACACAGTACTGAGGTACACTACACAGTGTTGAGGTACACTACACAGTGTTGAGGTACACTACACAGTACTGAGGTACACTACACAGTGTTGAGGTACACTACACAGTGTTGAGGTACACTACACAGTGTTGAGGTACACTACACAGTGTTGAGGTACACTACACAGTGTTGAGGTACACTACACAGTACTGAGGTACACTACACAGTGTTGAGGTACACTACACAGTGTTGAGGTACACTACACAGTACTGAGGTACACTACACAGTGTTGAGGTACACTACACAGTGTTGAGGTACACTACACAGTGTTGAGGTACACTACACAGTGTTGAGGTACACTACACAGTACTGAGGTACACTACACAGTGTTGAGGTACACTACACAGTGTTGAGGTACACTACACAGTGTTGAGGTACACTACACAGTACTGAGGTACACTACACAGTGTTGAGGTACACTACACAGTGTTGAGGTACACTACACAGTGTTGAGGTACACTACACAGTGTTGAGGTACACTACACAGTGTTGAGGTACACTACACAGTGTTGAGGTACACTACACAGTACTGAGGTACACTACACAGTGTTGAGGTACACTACACAGTACTGAGGTACACTACACAGTGTTGAGGTACACTACACAGTGTTGAGGTACACTACACAGTGTTGAGGTACACTACACAGTGTTTGAGGTACACTACACAGTGTTGAGGTACACTACACAGTGTTGAGGTACACTACACAGTACTGAGGTACACTAAAACAGTGTTGAGGTACACTACACAGTGTTGAGGTACACTACACAGTACTGAGGTACACTACACAGTGTTGAGGTACACTACACAGTGTTGAGGTACACTACACAGTACTGAGGTACACTACACAGTGTTGAGGTACACTACACAGTGTTGAGGTACACTACACAGTACTGAGGTACACTACACAGTGTTGAGGTACACTACACAGTGTTGAGGTACACTACACAGTGTTGAGGTACACTACACAGTGTTGAGGTACACTACACAGTACTGAGGTACACTACACAGTGTTGAGGTACACTACACAGTGTTGAGGTACACTACACAGTACTGAGGTACACTACACAGTGTTGAGGTACACTACACAGTGTTGAGGTACACTACACAGTGTTGAGGTACACTACACAGTGTTGAGGTACACTACACAGTGTTGAGGTACACTACACAGTGTTGAGGCACACTACACAGTGTTGAGGCACACTACACAGTGTTGAGGCACACTACACAGTGTTGAGGTACACTACACAGTGTTGAGGTACACTACACGTGTTGAGGTACACTACACAGTGTTGAGGTACACTACACAGTGTTGAGGCACACTACACAGTGTTGAGGCACACTACACAGTGTTGAGGTACACTACACAGTGTTGAGGTACACTACACAGTACTGAGGTACACTACACAGTGTTGAGGTACACTACACAGTACTGAGGTACACTACACAGTGTTGAGGTACACTACACAGTGTTGAGGTACACTACACAGTACTGAGGTACACTACACAGTGTTGAGGTACACTACACAGTGTTGAGGTACACTACACAGTGTTGAGGTACACTACACAGTGTTGAGGTACACTACACAGTGTTGAGGTACACTACACAGTGTTGAGGTACACTACACAGT